GATGATAACAACTAATAACGACCGTTTAATGGCTGATAACATCTGAAGCAGGTGTCCAAGTTTAAAGAAAGAAATGTTTTAAAGTCACTGCTTGATCAGGACACACACACGCACACACACACTGAACAACAGGATTGTTGTTGTTTATTGTTGATTGTACACTTCCTGTTGTCTCTGAACTCTGGACAAACAACAAAAAACTTCTGAAAACCTGAAAATTTAAAATATTTTAACAAATTTTAAATTAGAAACATGTTTGATGTTCAACTCACACACAGTCACGTTTATTGTGTGTGTGTGAGTGTGTGTGTGCGTGTGTGTGTGTCTAAAGAATAACAAAAGCATTCAAGAAAGCCTGAAGTAATTATTATTATTATTATTATTATTAACAACAACAACAACAACAACAACAACAACAACAACAATAATAATAATAATAATAATAATAATAATAATATTGGATAAATTTTTGTTTTAAAATGTTTTTAATAAATGTCAGACAGACAGAAGTGAGAATTGTATTTTAAACTTCCTTCTTGTAATGTTTTAAATATTGTTTATGTTTCTTGTATCTCGTTAATTTCTAAAATCTAATCTTTCTAAAATCATGTTTTTCTATTTCTTCCTGTAAACATCTGGTAACAAGTTTGTTTTTATCACAGCTGGACTAGAGAGACACGTCTATCCTCAACCATAACCTGACCATCATCTACTCCCAGTTCATTTCACCTCACACACATGCAGGACCAAGATGATCACAGATGATCACAGATGATCACAGATGATCAAAGATGATCACAGATTATCACAGATGATCACAGATTATCACAGATTATCAAAGATGATCACAGATATCACAGATGATCACAGATGATCAAAGATGATCACAGATGAGTTTGTCCTGTTCCAGCTCTGGATGATCTGCAGCTCAGGTTAACTTTTGTTTTTTATTTCTTTTAAATAAAAACTGTCTGAGGTTTTAGTCACATCTTGGACTTGTATCGTTTAAGTTCCATCCATTTTCTTTACCTGTTTATTCCATTTTGGGTCACGGGGGTCGCCGGTGCCCATGTCCAGCAATCACTGTGCGAGGGGCGGGGGACACCCTGGACAGGTCTCCAGTCCATCACAGGGACACATAGAGACAAACGAGACAAACAACCATTCACTCTCCCACTCACACCTAGGGACAATTTAGAGTTACCAATCAGCCTAACATGCATGTTTTTGGTCTGTGGGAGGAAACTGGAGTACCCGGAGAAAACCCACGCATGCACGGAGAGAACATGCAAACTCCACCCAGAAAGGCCCCTGGACCGGGATTTGAACCAGGGACCTGCTTGCTGAGAGGCAGCAGCTCTACCAGCTGCGCCACCGTGCTGCCCGTTTAAGTTTCTTAAATTGTAATTTTTTTAAACTTGTATTTTTTATTTTATTACTGGATGTTTTGTTGCAAATATTTTAATATTACTCTTATTAAAACTATTTGCACATCGCCCAGCACATCCTTGTAATAGAGATTAATAATCTCATGGATTTTTTTCCAGGTAAAATAAAGGTTTGATTAAATTTATGTAGGTCTGCTGTAAACAAACATGTAATAATAATTTATTTGTATTTATTTTAAATACATTTTCTTAAAGAAAAAACAAAAAAAAAATCAAAACGAAACAAAAACAAAAAACGAGAAAAAGTAAAAGATAAAAAATATAATTATTATCGTTGTTGTTGGGGACTGAAGCGGAGCCTCAACTCATGCACGCGCACATGAACGGACTGACCCGGTCCTGCGGTTGAAAGGAAGCCGCAGCAGAACCGTCGGAACCGGAGCCAGTCTGGGATCAGGACGTTTATTTAACGACTAAAGAGAAAATTAAAATTAGTTTCTGTTTTTATTAAAACTCATAATGTTCATTTATTTTTATTCATGTTTAAAAAGTGATTTTTTTCAGAGATATTCGATTTTAATTTATATTAAAAAAATATATGTAAACAAAAAAAACATAAATGAAACGATATACTTATTTACTTTAGATAAATCATACTGTTTTAAATCACTTTAGTTCAACTAATTTTGTTTTGTAAATGTTTCATAATTTTTTTAAATGATTTTCTTTCCTATCAGAGTTTTATATTTATTTCTGTCTCTAATCTCACATTTCAAATTAATTTTAAACATTTTTAAAACAACACCAAAAGTCTGAACATCAATAACTAAAAAAAAAAAAAAAACTATATTATTATTATTAATTATTATTTTATCATTATTATTGTTAATATTATTATTTACTCCTTTAAATCCATTTGATTTAATCATTTTTTAATTTCTGTTTGATTTATTTATGTCTTTGAATTAATTTGTTTCTTTTGATCATTTTATATCAACTCGAGGCGCGTGCTCGATGGTTCCTTTTCGCGCTTTATTTTTTATTCTTTTTTATATTTGATGCATATTTTTGTAAATGTTTGTTTTCGTCATCAGCTCTGGTAAATATTTATTGTTTATTTTTCAGTGAGATCAAAATGTTTTGGACCCAGCAGCTGGTTCCGGTCCGGTCCAGGTTCTGAGGTTCTGGTCTTACCAGATGACGGCCGGTCCGAGTACCGGGTGCAGTAGACCCAGGCGGGCCACAGCAGCGCCTGGCTGTCCGGGGCCTTGGTCCCGGTCCCGTTCCGGACCCGGTCCCCCCCTCCGGTCCTGTCCTCAGTTTGGACCCCATCGCTGTCGGTGAGGGTTCCGGGCCCTCCGGGCCCCGCGGGTCCGGTTCCGGTTCTGCTGCTCTGCTTGGGACTTGATGAAGAGGAGGAGGACGAAGACGTGCTGTCGCTGCTGCAGCCAGAGTCCAGGTTCGGGTCCAGGTTCGGGGTCCCAGGAAGGTTCGGTCTGAGGATCGGGACAGAACTGTGCTCCCGCAGACCCAAACCCGGATCTGGACCCGGGTCCTTCCTGCAGCCAAAGTCTGGCCTCAGGATGTTGTCGATGAAGAAGTTGGTGGTTCGGTTCTGTTGGACCACCTGCAGGCCCAGGACTGGGGGTGAGGGGGGGACCCGGTCCGAGCTCTTCAGGTCCCGCTGCTCCTCCATCGAACCTTCGGTTTTGTCGGAACCCGAACCTTCCCACTAGGAGACTCTTTGGATCCAGAATATGAGCTCGGGTCGAACTAGAACCCTCAGTTCGGATCCTGCTCGAACTGGGCCCGCCTGGTCTGAGTAGACCAGGTCCGGTCCGTCATGGTGGATGTGAGGGGGTCCTCGGTACCTGGTGCTGCTCACTGCTGGGTGACCTGGTTCTTCTGGGCCCTGTCAGCACATCACAGACACTCAGAACCGAACCCATTGAGCACTGAGCCAATCAGAGGCCGGGACCCAAAAGAGGACCAATCAGAGGCCGGGACCCAAAAGAGGACCAATCAGAGGCCGGGACCCTGCAGGGCGGGAGATGACTCGGTCCAATCAGAGGAGAGTGTGAGGCTGCGTGGTTCCGTCTGCTGCTTCTGGCCCGGTTCATAGACAACTGCTGGGTCCTGCGGTTCGGGTTCCATGATGGTCCGGGTCCAGTCACTCCCGAACCTTACTCTGGTCCATGAAAATGACGTCATCATTCTTCTTAACCAAATAAAAATAAATTAAAGCCCCCCCACCCCCACCCCACCCCACCCGGGGCCTTTCTGGGTGGAGTTTGTTCTCAGTACTGCGTGGGTTTTCTCCCACAGACACATCAGGGTGCTCGGGAATTGTCCCTCATTGTCCCTGTGATGGACTGGAGACCTGTCCAGGTGTCCCCCCCCCCCCCCCCCCCCCCCCCCCCCCCCCCCCCC